CTTGGACGCAGTCCTGTGCCACGTGCTCTAGGTGACCCTGCGTGTGCAGGGCGGGTTGGACTAGATGATCTCTAGAGGTCCCTTCCAACCTTAAGTATTCTGTGATTCCATGATTCTATGATGTGGAAAATCAGGATAGTGTTATAGACAAAAGTTAGAAAGGTGGTAGATTAAACATGGCAATGGGTGACAATGAGGAAAACACGCAAAAGTATGTGTGTCTAACTACTATTTTTTTTTTTAACCAAACAGGTGAGGAGCTCTTGTTAGTAAGCTGTGCTCAGGATTGTTTGATAAGAATTTGGAAAGTGTGTACAAAATCGAAGCAATTTCCAGAAGATGAAAATTACTCCATAAGACTGAAGGAGAATGTTTTTACCGTTAAAGGTAAGTGGCAGCTGTGAAATACTCTTGTGCAGCTTTTCTAGTGTATTTGTTAATTGTATGAAGACAGTGTGGTTACCATCTAGCTTCTTTTGTTTTTATTGTATTAGAGGAAGCTAAGACCAGCGTGGGTGTATTATTTTTGTACAGCCATTAAAAAATAGCATCTTTAAAGCAATGCCTATGTGCAGCTAAATGTGAGCTATGAAAAACAGTAAAGCAGAGAGCTTAACATTAATAACAGCATGCATTATTATCCGTATTCCAACTGCAGGTACGCTGTTTGAGGTAAATTTGTCTGTGGGAAGTAAGCTCTTAAACAGTTTTTCTGCAGTTTAACATACCTTGACTTTTCCTTCAAGTTCACTGCTTTAAGAAGTACTAGTAGTGCTTAACCCTTAAAAAGGTGAGAGCATGGATGAGTGTGTGCAGCCTTACTGGGTCAGTTAGCCTCCTGCTTGGGCACTGCAACACCAGAGGCTTGTAGTGTTGGCATAAGGTTAAGTTACTAGGGAGCTTGTGTGGTAAAACATCACACAACTCTTTTTTTTTTTGAATGTGTAAAAAGAGCCTATGGTGATGCTGCAAATCCAGGTTCATTGTTCAAAATATCTTAATGCTTATGGTTACAGTCATTTGGAGGCATAAGTTTGCTTAAGAGTGAGTAGAGGCAATTTGCATGTGTATTTTGAGATTCTTTGAGAAATCTCTAGGAATTCCGTAGTATTTCTCTGAGGCAATAATCTGACGTATTACTGCCAATATGGTATGTGAGGCCAGCATCCAAGTAGGTTTTCAGAGCTATACAGTGTTAGCAGGATATTGGTAGGTTATGAAAGCAGCTGATTATATTTTTGAAATATCAGAAATGATCTGTTTTTTTTTTTTTCTTTAAGATCAGAATTTTAGAAACAAATGTGTTTTCTCTGTTTTGCGATAGACCCCCTTAAAACATATGCAGTTACCTTGGAGTCTGTGTTGGCTGGTCATGAAAACTGGGTTTATGCAGTTCACTGGCAACCTTCCTTTTTCAAAGGTAAAAAGATACTAAATACCTTAACAGTTGGGGATTGCGTGCATAAAGATTTTGTATCGTGTAGGCATTGTTCACTTGTCCCTGTGGACTATGAAAGGGTTAGAATTCAGCAAATGATGTTTTCTGAGTAAACTGATGTTTTGGCCACATGTACCACAATAGCATGTATTGCTAGCACAGATTCTCTATGGCTGTGTGATGCTATGTAGTATTCTTGTTTTGTTTTGTGAATGAAAAACTGAGCTACACTGACTTTATTATAACCAATGTGGTGGGATAAAATTCAATTTTGTTCAGTATGTAGTAATAACTCTACTGTTTTGTCTTCATAAATTTGTTTAAAATGTCAGTTCTTTAGAAGGTATGTTTTAACTCAAAAGCCTTGTTTTGCACTAGAAAGGAGCAACATTCAGAAGTTTCATCTTCATTCTTCGATATATTAATTTTATTTTCAATATATTAATTCCTTGAGTATAAGTTTTGGCTAGCTAACGAGTAGTCTTAAAGCACTGATTCAGACTTTTATTGCAAACTTGTTATGTTTTTTAAATTCTGCTTCTTGCCCTAGCCTTCATCTTATTCTTTAAATCCTTAAATACTGGCAGTTCAGTACTGAATTATGCCTTGGGCAGACTCACACAAATAAAGGAATTAAAGGAATGAGGCTCTTGATTTGACATGCTCATACTGTGAGAAGGCTTTGTTACATTTGTCTTAGCAAAGCTCCACTTTTTTTTTTCTTTCTTTCTGTTATGTTTTAGTTTTGTGTCAGGTGACTTAACCAGTGCCAGCACAGCTTTGTCAGTGTGTATGCAGTTCTTCAGCAGTATAGTGAAATAAGAATGGCAAAATACCTGTTAAGAAAGGTATGCCACGTGCTTGAGAAGGCTTATTTAATTATTTGTTCTTTTACTTTTTTTTTGAACTTATAAATGCAAGTTTTTGCTCCTTAGACAAAATATAAGTCAGTGTGCAAGCCCTAGAGGGTAACACAGAAAGCCCTGTCCTGTTAGACCGTTAAGCTTTTTCTAAGTGTCTCACATCATGGTTCTGCATACGTGCATTTAGGCAGCTGCTTCTCTCTTTTTAGCTTGCCCAAAGGTGGGTTCCCAGAATAGATACTCCTCTTCAGCAGGCCTAGGCGGATCTGAGAGATGCACTTGGGACATTGCTTGCTACCTCCAGGGGTGACGATCAGAGACATGGCACTATTAACACAGGTGTTGCTGAGGGGATGCACACCAGCATTCCCATCCTTCTGGGAAGGCTTTTCTGCAGTTCTCCCTGCAATATCTTCGCTGGCTGATGAACCAGCTCCCTCCTCCTGTTCTAGCACTGTGGGACTGTCGCCTGCAGCAGTGCAGCACCACCTCAGAGAGCAGCATCTACTGCGAAGTGCTAGAGCCCGAGCACTTAGAGGGGTCCAGCATAGGGTCACAAAGATGGCTAAGGGCCTGGAGCACCTATCGTATGAGGAAAGACTAAGGGAGCTGGGCCTGTTTAGTCTGGAGAAGAGAAGATTGAGAGGGGATCTGATCAATATGTACAAATACATAAGGGGAGAATGTAGGGAGGATGGGGCCAAACTCTTCTCAGTGGTGGCCAGTGATAGGAAAAGGGGTAATGGGTACAAATTAAAACACAGGAAGCTCCATCTCCATGTGAGGAAGAACTTCTTTACTGTGAGGGTGACAGCCCTGGAACAGGCTGCCCAGAGAGGCTGTGGAGTCTCCTTCTCTAGAGATCTTCCAAACCCGCCTGGATGCCACCCTGTGCCACGTGCTATAGGTGTCCCTGCTGGAGCAGGGGTGTTGGACTAGATGATCTCTAGAGGTCCCTTCCAACCTCAACTGTTCTGTGATACCTTGAATCTGACATTTAATTTTGAACAACAGTGAATATTGACATACAGATTATTTTAAACTGTCGACCTGGTGGTAAGTACAGAGATTTTACTGGAGGTAAAGAACTGAACTGTTATGCAGAGCTCTGTGTGAAGCTCTAGCTTTTCCTCCAAGTTACAGCTTTTTTAATATCATTTTGGAGAGAATTAAAGAGTAGAATTTGTTTGTCATCGTGTATATATTTTACATTTTTCTTTGATATATCATCTTTGGAAAAAAAATACGCCTTCTAATAATAATGCCTGAGTTTTTACAAGACATTTAAAATGTCCAGCACTTAACTGCCACATTTTAAATCTCCAGTGCTCCACAGTTTTGGGGGCATGCCTGGATTTTTAATATCACGGAATTATTTTAGAGACCGTTGCTGTAGCTTGTGGGGTGATCTTTTCCCTTGTGCTGTAGATGGCAGCATGCAGCAGCCCATGAGAATACTGTCTGCGTCCATGGACAAAACTGTGATTCTGTGGGCACCTGAAGAGGAATCTGGAGTCTGGCTAGAACAGGCAAGTGTCACTCTTTCTCATGAGAGGTGGTGTTTGCATGTTGTTTCCAGCATCATGTGTGTACTAGGGTGAATAGAAGCTTTATAAAGGGCTAGGAAAGAAAGACAAAAATAATTTCTAGCAGAAACTTTCTTTTTGACGCTCTTTTGCGGTTAGAACTATGTCTGTCAAAAAGACGACGTTGTGATGCAGCATAACTGTTATTACTTGTTCCCTTGTTTATCACTGTATCGAGGAGTTGCTTGAGTGTCATTCATGGCTTAGCAGGTCGGGTGCCAGGTAGTAACACTCTGTGCTATAGTAAGAGCAGGAAGAAATCACGTTAAATTATGTCATTAATATTTATCGGAACGTGTTCTTAAGCCGTTACGACAGAGCAGCTAACACAACGCACAGCCTTGTCGTATTCGTAGTAATTTTGGGAGGGGACTGTAGCATTTTGTTTTTCTTCCATTTGTGCCAAATAGTCCCATTTCACTCTATTTAGAGTAGTGTTACAGATCATCCTAAAACAAGTAGTACAACCATGTAGTACAGCCATATGTATCTAATGTCTTTTCCTTGACTTGCTTTTCCAAACTGTCCAGAAGTTTCGTGCTATGCCTGTTGTTTGTTGATTTGTGATTTTTTTTCCCTCTCACAAAAAAAAAGGCAGATCCTCTTTTGAGGAAACAGGAAGTAGGATAGTGGGGGGTCTGTGTGTGTGTCTGTGTGTGCTTTTCAACAGAAAAAGGAAACAGGCTGTCCTACTAGAATTAGTAGATTTTTTTTCCTTAAGGTTGGCACAGAGAGATGCTACTTGATGTACCTGTGCAGTGTTTGGGTGAATTTTCCAAGCCTCAGTTGCGCTGTAAGGCTTTTTGGAGGTTTGTTGCTCCTCCTTTTTACATTCATTTTGTGTTGCTTAGATCTCAGGTGTGTAGCTTACAGTTCACATCAGACATGTCAGCTGCAGTCTTCCTTTTTGCATTGATGGAGACCCATATCAGTAGCCTGCAAGAAAAGAAAGGGAGATAATGCATTCTGTAATGTGTTCTTCATTTATGTTTTAAATCAATATTGTAAGGAAGTAGGCAAGGAGTATGTCCTATTCTCTACCCTTTTCTGTCTTAATGTGTTGAAGAGGAAAACTTCACAGTATCAGTTCACTGCTCAGAGGTGGGGCTAGAATTCTGCTTCTGACATGAAGCAGGTGAATCTCATCACGTGGCACGTTGTCTGGAATTGGTGCTAGCTGACTGGGCATAACCTCATGCCAAATGGCAACGTGGACTGGTTAACTTCATGTTAATTACAGGTTCGTTTCATTTTGGACTTGAAAGCATTTGTGTAAAACTGAGGGAATTTGGGGAACTCAATGCAAAAGAAATCATGTTCTAGCCTGTCAAACCTTGAAAGAGAAATTTTAACATTTTTTTAAAAATGTAATCAAAACCCTGGAAGAGCATTAAAGGAGCTGTATGGGGATTGTGTGTGAGTGTGTATTTATACATGCGCATGTGCTTAGAGAGACTCAAAGACCAAAATATGACACAAACTATCTGGGATGTGTGGAGTCAGTTGTGTGTGTGTGTTCTTTTTTTTGTTGTTGTTTTTTCCCCTTCCTTACCCCTGGGTGATTGAGGAAGATCCCTTTCTGAGATGCTTATGAAAGGAAGCCCTATTAAAGGTACATGTGGCTTTAATTCCTGTGGTATTTTGGCACTTAAGTCTGCAGTTGTTACATTTCTCCAAGTTCTTGCCTGTAGCTGAACCTTCATTTGGTGACGTTAGGGTAAGTTTGTAAGAGCGGAAGTCATTTTAACGGATATTTCCCTTGTGGTCACTAACTCAGGTGCGGGTAGGAGAAGTCGGCGGCAACACGCTTGGATTTTTTGACTGCCAGTTTAGCCCAGATGGTTCAATGATTGTTGCTCATGCTTTTCACGGAGCGCTGCACCTCTGGAAACAGGCTGCACTGAATAAGGTAAGGTGTTTTTTGGTTTTGTTTCTCTGTTTTTTGTTTCATCCTTCCCACCTTTAACTCTTTTGGGAGGGGTTATAAAATACACTGTATTTTACCACTGTAAAATACCTGTCACTAGAGAAAAGTTCTAAACTTCATAGGAAATACCAAGCATAGCAGGTCAATTTAAAATAAGTGATAGAAATTTACCTTTTCCAAATATAATATTCTGCAGGAGTCTCACCCCCGCCTAGAAGGGAGGCTGTGAAGCCTGTTAGTGGCTTTATGGTTTCAAAGGCAGTCGGCAGAGGAGGCCAGGCTCCCTCCTCCTGCACAGCCCTTCAGAAATGGCAGGTGAGCCAGTAACACAAGTTTCTTGTTTTGAGCAATAAACCGTCTTCTACCTGTGACACCACCTGTGTCCATTTGGCCACTCCGGATTCTAGTAACCTACTGTTCTCAAATGTCTACTTGTTTGTTTTTGACTTCCTGATAAAGACATTTGTATTTTGTCACTCGTATTTTGGTAGAATACATCAATCGGTTGATTGAAGTGTGGATTTTTTTATTGTTGTTATTATTTGTTTGGTTTTCATTTAAGTGTAGAAAGAATGGACTCCAGAAGTTGTGATCTCAGGACATTTTAGCAGTGTAGAGGATGTAAAGTGGGATCCCCAAGGAGAGTTTATCGTCAGTGTTGGTTCTGATCAAACTACTAGAGTCTTCGCTCCCTGGAAGAGAAAGCACGAGGCAGAGGTACGTTGTTCAAAGGCTTTTGTGAGCCTGATGAAGAAACCTTGCCAGTTAGGCCTACTACTCAGGTTTGTTCCAAACTCAGATCTTAAGTTACAGAGAGCTGCTGTATCCTGCTGGTGGAGTGAGGTGAAATGATTTAGGTGGGCAAGGGTAATTTAAAGAATTCTTGTATGTTCAGGATTTGTGCCTCATAGCTAATGCTGCTGTACAAAAAAAGATCTGAGTTTATTTAGATAATGTAGGCTTTTAATTTTTTTGCAATACTGAGGTTAGCATCTGAAAAATTACAATGTTCTTGCAAGAGAGCGTATCTTGTCTTTTACTATTCTATTTTTTTTTCTTTCTATATTGGAAAATAATCGAGGACTTTAAAAATAAGAGCTTTCATAGTCTCTCTCAAATATCCTGTTCATAGTCTATGGGAAATGTTCATATATAAGATTAATACAATTTTTTAGCAAGCTATTGATAGTTTATAGTGAAGATAACACCTTTCTTTATGTTTGTATAATGTTTACTGCAGCATAAATTCCAACCTTCCTGTAACTTTCTAGGCAGTCTAGTATGGAGATAATCTGATCAAGATTCTGCTCACCATTAACTCAAAAGTGCAGATCACTTTTTTTCCTCCAATTAAAGCATCATGTATAAGTAGTAACAAATGTCAGTTCACTTAATAAACAAACAAATAAATAAGAGTGTTTCTGGACAGCAGACTTTCCTGAAGACATTTGTTCATGCTAGAACAAACTAATTATTAAAAAAGCGGTTTATTTAAATAACTTCATATCTTTGATCATTCTCAGCAAAGAATACTAGCATAGTATGAACGTTCTAATTTCTGGTCAGTTGTTAATTATGATTTTTGCTGGGTATGAACATTTATATTTGAAGTGCAAATATTTATGTTTCAGGAAACTAGAAACAAGGTAGAATATTTGAATGACACCACTTCTGAAAGCACCATGATTTTTCCAGATTCTTTTCCTGTGAGATTTTTTCTGACAGTTTTGGTAAAGTTTCTCTAGAATGATCCTGCTAAAATCTTTGATATAAAGAAGAGAGGAAGGATGAACCTAGCCTGCTGATTATGGTGCTTTTGTACCTGAAAGGCAGCAGGAGAAGGGGAGGTGATAATTGCTACCCTCAGATCTTTTAGAAGGTATTAAGCTGATATATCCTCACCTGCTTCAGCTTTATAAGCATTATTGGATGGTTGCTGTTGCTTGCTGGCTATATGAACATAAAGAATCACTGCTCTTTTTTTTTGCTGCTCAAAAGTTTTGCTGCTTCTCTAGCTCAGAACCACGTTTTGCTCCTTCAGGTAACCTGGCATGAAATCGCGCGGCCCCAGATACACGGTTACGACATGCGCTGCCTGGCCATGGTCGGCCGCTTCCAGTTTGTGTCCGGGGCGGATGAAAAAGTGCTGCGAGTCTTCCGGGCTCCCAGGAATTTTGTAGAGAATTTCAGTAACATCACTGGTATTCCAGTTGGGAAGCTACACTACCGCGTAAGTAATTGAACAGTGCTAAGTGAAGACAGCCAGTAAAAATACTGTCTGATGAAGACATCAGTAAAAATACTCCTTCAGAGAACATCAAATGGATTAAATCCCATAACGATTCTGTAATACTTCTAAAACTTCATATTTTGTTTTCTTTCCCTCCCATTTCTTTTGCTTCTGTGCGTCTTGTTCCATGTGTATTTACACGGTCTTGTCATGTCAAACAGGCTCTCTTTGAAATAAAGCGAAACCTGCCCCCTTGAGATTGCAAAGGATATGGGTAAATTGTAAGAAGTTGTCAGCACGGGTAGAGGGTTGTATGCACCCTAGTGATTTGAAAGCAAACAAAGCTTGAAAATATCCTTAGTTTTAGGGTTGAAGTGGTCTTGTCTAGGTGTAGTTTGTTATTTTTAACTATATGCTTTGAAGTAACAAAGCTGTCAGCATTGTTAGTTTTATGTATAAATATTTATAAACTATACTCGTGCTTTGTTTCCTATTAGCAGTAGAAATTTCCTTGTGAGGCTGTTAGGGCTATATAGCGTACTGAAGATAAGTTGCCTTTCCTACTCTCTGTGTGTGTGTGTGTGTGTGGTGGTGGTTTTTTTTTTCATTTTATTTAAGATAAAGGCTCTCTTTTTTGCCTACTCTGAAAAAAAAAAAAAAAAAGATAAGGTTGTAGAACTACTGTCCTTTATTTGCTTCCCCGTCTCTTCAGGGTGTAATTCTACTTTTCTTTGGTTTTTACGGAGCAGTCCTTCAGGATAGTTACCTGGGCACAGTGCTTGGCATTTCTGCCCCAAAAGCCGTGTTTCCTGTGCAGCTTCTCAGGCAAGGATTAGCCCTTCCACTTCATCCGTTCATTTTCGATAGCAAGAAGTTACATAAGTGGTTGTTTATTGCCTTAATATCGTGACTCTCTCTAAGCATTTGCATTAATGGCACTGTGCAAATAACATATTTTTGTGCAGGCAGATGTTGCTTTTTTTGCTTTTATGTTAAAAAGGCTTCTTAGCTCTTCTGCATGCTATTTTTGATCTGCATCCCAAAGTTTAACAGCGGCTCTGTTTGGAGAGGAAGACTTTATAAGTGCTAAAGATATAACTACTTTTAAGTAGCTTTACTGAAATTGTGAATACCTTTTTTTTTTTTTAATGTGTGTGAGCTTTCCTTCATTTTTTCTCAATCACCTTCTCAAAAACACTTTAAACTGAAAAGATGATTTTATATTCCAAAAAGAGTGAATAGAATTTTTATTCAGCCCAAATGTATGGGCTTGCATTGTGCCTTGGCTTGTAATGAAGAACTGCTTTTGCCTTAGAGGTCTTAGACTGGTTTGTGTGTGTCGGATGGTTACAAACTTGTGAACAATTAAATAATGCACAATTTAAGCTGTCATCTAAATTATTAATTCCGTAACATAGCCTTTGAACCCTTCAGATACTCTAAGGGTGAGAAGTTACAGCTATTAGATGGTGCTTTTCCATCCCCGCACAACTGGCCCCAAGCTCATCTCTTCTGATTTTTGTCTTTTCTCTGGTACCTTTATGGATGTAGGTTTTTGGATTATGTTCTTTCCTCAGTGCTGCTCCAAACACATCCCTGTCACATACTGAAATCATGAGTACAGACTGTCACTTTCCCTTCCCTCTTCAAAACACATCCTCCTTCTCCTCAGAACAGTGCTCTAGGTAATCATCTAATACACACACGTGCACGCATATATATATATTTATATATACACACACATATATATATCTCCTATAATAAATAAAATGGTGATGAAGGCCTGTGTGTAGGAATGAGGATGCATGCTTTACAGCAGAGAAACTCCTCCTGAATTGAGGAGTTGAGGTCTGGCAAAGGCGGCTTCTGGTTCATGGTGTCTTGTTACTGTTCCCTCCCTGAGGATGTTGTGGACATGGCAGGAGATTTCCAAAGGGCTCCCGCTCACTTCTCTTTCTAGCGAAGTCGCTCTTTATTGTAGAGATTCCATGTGTGCCACCTGCAGGCTAGTTCTATGCAGCAATCTGACCTACCTAACCGCTTTTTCTATTTTATTTTATTTTGATTCTTTCTTTTTTGTATTTTAATTCTTTTTTTTTGTATTTTAATTCTTTTTTTTAATTATTTTGTATTTTAATTCTTTTATTTTAATTCAGCAAACATCTGACCTTCCGAAAGGTGCAGTTGTGCCAGCTTTGGGCTTGTCCAATAAAGCCATCTTTAAAGGTATGGGTAATGAGAAGTAATTGTGATGATGCTTCATTTAGAAAATTTAAAAATACTAAAAAAAAAGCATACGGTAAAACAGTTAGGTCCATCATTGTACCCTTGCATAAAATGCAACTTTAGAAACAAAATTGTGCAAAGTGTTTATGTGGTAGGTAGCACCTAAATACGGTATTTAAAAAAAAAAAAAAAAAGACAAGTGAAAGTGAACATAAATAACCTACTGGTACTAGCAAAGTCGGAACAGTTCTGCAGCTAATGAGGAGCTCCCAGGTGCTGCTTGTGTTTTGCTATGAAGTGTCTGTATCCTCAAACTGCCAAGCCGTTTCCAAGCCCTGCTCACGCTCTCTGCACGCCGGCAGCCCAGCAGAGGCCCGTGGAAGTGGCGCTGCTTCCGAGGGCATCGGTCGCTTGCTCTTTTCCAGCAGGAGCAGCCATAACCTCCTCCAGGCGCGTGACGCTTTGTGAGCGTGTTGAGGGAGGAGCGCTTTGGCTGTGAAGGCTAGGGAGGCGCCTGATGAGTTTCTTGACAAGGTGGTAGGGATCCCACTGTGGGGAGGCCAGGAAGGAGGCATAAACTTTGTGTCTAGAATGACAAACATGTCAGAATTGTATCTGAGGATAGATAATCCTGGAAGTCTCTTATTTATTAAAATCTGTGATAAAATACATTCACAATGGAATCTACAGTTAGGTCGGACCTGCTTTTTTCTGCCTACTTTAATCAGAAGATGTAGCTTCAAACATTCTCTCTAGGATCTTCAATGTCAGTAGAGGAGGTTGTCATACATCCTTTTTTGAGAAAGATGGTTTTTGCCAAAGTATATTTTACAAATTGGTTAAGTACAGCAAAGCTTTCTTTTTTTCTGCTTTTTTGCAAGTCCTTCCACTAGTAGAGGGAACTGAATTCCTGTCTCCTAAAGTATTTTCACACACATAGTTTCTGATTTTGAATGATTTGAGGAGGCGCATTCAGCAGCAGAGTAGAAAAGGTGGTGTCCAGTTTTCCTTCCATCTTCCACCATTCTCCACATTCCATCAGCCTGGATGGCTGCAGTTTGCAGCCCCACAGAACCTGCTCCTGTCTAGAGGGGCCTTCAGGGTCAGTTATGATTCCAGATAATGTTTGAGAGCAACTTTTACCCACGGCTGTATCTTTTTCTTAAATAATACTTTCAAAACAAAGGGTAGAACTGAATTTTAACTTACAAATTAATGGAGTAATTTCAGTTATTTTAGTATGTTTGTCTAAAGGTAGGGACTGAGCACTTGACAGCTTTGCTGAAATTTGCAAATAGCAGATATGCCTGGGCAAGCCTGACTTCTTATTTGCAGGATATCACTTAAATTTGGAAGATCATTGCTTGTTTGGGAGATTTTTTTTTTTTATAAAATATAGAAGGGAAGGAAATTTTGAAATTAATAGGTAGTTTTTACTTGTGTAATACTTAATCATGTTTTTCTTCCTGTCAAGTATTTTTTCTCTGGCTAATGAAGTCCTTTAATTTGATTAGAAGATATCGCTCTTCAGCCAGCTGAAGATGAAGAAACGTTTAACACAATTTCCAATCAGTATCCTGAGATTGATTTTCAACCCTTGATCCTTACAGGTATGGGATTTATTTGTGTATTATGAAATAGCAAGTGAGTTTCAGTATGTATTTGGAGCTGAATTTTGCTGATTTTTAAACTAGTTAGCACCACCTGTGAACATGTTGTACAAATATCTTTTAGAACCTCCCCCAGAGGATCACTTGCTGCAGAACACCTTGTGGCCTGAAATTCAAAAGCTGTAAGTTGTTTTATTTTTTTTTATTTTTTATTTTTTTGAAAAAGTTTATATAAATATGTATATTTCCAGAAAGCTATTACAGCACGCTACATCCGATCTTGTAAACCTTTTTTTATTGCTTGATCTGTGTACAGTGTATTGCTTGAAAAATAAATATGTAAAAACAGGAAACAATACAGAAAACAGCAGCTGGGGCTGCTTAGTGTTACCAGTCTATCTCACTGATTGCTGCAGGAACAGTGAAGTATGTATTCTTGCCAGGATTCTTCAGCTGAATTTTCTAATGCTCATACTTTCATTGTACCTTCAGGTGCTTCTGTCCTAGAGATCTGTTCAGGGCTCAGATCCCTCACTCTTCCTTGTTCCAAGAGATCAGTAAAGTTTCAAGTCTGCTCTAAGGAATTGCCATGTGCTTTCAGGGCTTTGCTCTGGAATGTGACAGGCCTTTTTTTTTTTTTTTGCTGTTGGTTTTTTTGTGGACCAGTGTTGTTAACCCTGTCTTGTTTTCCAAGCTGAAGAAGTCTATCCTGTTTTATTATTCCTTGTGCAGAAATAATAATATAGTCCACGAGTGCAAGGCCGTGAGTAGAAAGGAACAGGTTGCGATATATCAGCACTTAGGGTGGCTGCGAACAGTGTCTATTGCCCTGTCTCGTTGTTCAAGAGTTACAAGAAAAGAAAACAAGAAAAACTAAAAAAGCCAAACTGAGTCGAGCTGAGCTCATCCGAAGTTCATTGAACTTGATTCTTGGAGACTTGCATGTTTCTTAAACATTTCTATACATTTTTAGAAAAGTGAACTCCATAGTGTAAATCTGACCCTAGAACAGCTTTTCATAGAAAGTTAAAGAAAATTATTTAAAGGTTACAAATAACTTATTTATAATCTGTTTCCCCTCTCACTTCCTCCCCGATGGTGTTTAATTGTTGGGCATCTTTTTCTCTTCGCCCCAGAGCATAAGCACCTCCCTTTTAGCTGGTGTTTGCCCACTGTTTCCAGATTGCATCTCCAGTTTCCTTCTTTATTAATCTGTTTTGTGTAGTAGTTAATTATGTTTGGTGCTTCTGCTTATAGATTGAATCCCAGTCAGAACACGTGAGCTTGAATTCCAGCAGTTTGTGTAAAGACCAGGAGTTACAGGGTCTTCCTCTTCTGACTTGAGTCTTGTCCTCTGGTTCAGAAAAGATTTCTCAGTATTTAACAGAATGGTTTTCTGTGCTGAGTTTCAAATATATGACTCCATGGTTTTGGTGGTGGTGTTGAAACTACCTTACAGAAATTAAGAATATATTAAATAATACTGCTGCTGTGTGCTTTGTGAACTGTTGCTGTGGTTTTGCAGTGTCAGTGCTTTAGGACTCTGAGATGTTGGAGAGGTTGTTTCGTAGACTGTGCCTGCGTGGAAAAATTTATGCAGATGTTTTAAGCAGAATGCAGAACAAACATTATCTGCAGTTATTTAGTGTGTTGTGCAATAACAGTGCTGAAGGAAAATTCCCAGCAGCTTTCTTTCATTTCTACAAAAGGGTTAAAATTAATAATAAGTATCTGCTTTTGTGGTGCTTGATAAGTACCACAAAAATGATTGTGATGTGCTAAATATCTCTTCACGTTTTTTTCAGGTACGGACATGGATATGAAGTTGTTTGTGTTGCCTGCAACAATTCCAATACAGTGATTGCCTCAGCATGTAAGGTAGGAAAAGATGCTAGCACCATCTAGTGAAAAGTGCTCTTGGTTTCCTAGGATGGATAAAGCAGGAGTCAGGGTTTGGTTCAGGCTGAATTCTGGTATATAAGTTAACCAGAAAAATTTTGTCTAAATCACCTTGCAAAGGTGTTTACACAAGGTTTAATATTTCTTAAGGATGTATAATTCACTCAAAGATATTAGGAAGAAAAAATTTATATTTTAAAGTCTAACAAACATTGATACAAAGCATTTTCTTACTATTATATTGTCAATATGAATAAGAAGTTATTAAAATATGTGTGAGATAAACTTGAAACTTGCCAAAGGAAAGCTGACTCACTGCAAGCCAAGCAAACAAACAGGGCCCCTAGTGCCTTGTTGGAATTTCTGGTATTTGTATTTGCTTTCTTTAATTCTCCCTGGAACTTTTGATACTCGTATTTGCTTTCTTTAATTCTAACTGGTGTTACTGCATCAATACAGGCTTCCAAAAAAGAACATGCAGCTATTATTTTGTGGAGCACTGCTTCTTGGAAGAAACTGCAGAGTTTGACATTTCACAACCTGACTGTTACTCAGCTGGCGTTTTCTCCCAATGACAAACTTTTATTAGCTGTTTCTAGAGACAGGAACTGGTCACTGTGGAAGAAACAAGACTCATCAGAGTCAGGTAGGATATGTGAAATGGTTACGCATATTTGAAGCCTTCTAGACTCGTCACAGTACTACTTTTTATTAGAAGTTCAGTACGCTGATGGTCTATAGAGAAGCCACAAAACGACTTAAAAAGTAGAAAAGTCTTTAATAATGTCTGCAGTGCCGTTTAAACGAGGATGACAAGTCTGCCCCTCGCTGAGGCGCTCTTCTGCTCAACGACCGCTTCACGTTTGCTGCGGTGACGCGCGTGTGGCAGCGCGGTGCCCGCGCTTGGCGCAGCCGCGGCGAGCAGGCGGAAGCGGTGCCGCAGCGCCGTGGCCGGGCTGGGCTGCCGTGCTGCCGCTCGCGCTCCCAGCCTCTCCGCAGGATCGGCCGCCGTCCTCGGTGTGCCTTTCTCGTAATCCTTCGGAGCTGATGGATTTGACTGCGAATGCCTCTGGGTGGAAAAGAGCAGACAGTAAAGATTCAGTTGACTTTCTCATCACAGCTTTCTGCCTTGGAAAATCAGAAAGTGCTTGCTGCTGAGCATGTTAATGCTCATGGGTGGGGTATGTGCACATGTGGTAAAAACTGCACCATACTCTTAAAAGCTTTAATAGAATATTAGCATCCTCTGCTTAGAGTTTGTGTCTTTTGAAACATGTAAAAGAAAAAACTGTTGCCGTAGTTTTAGTGCTGCCCACATTGACTGATGTGATTTGGAACAACTGCTAATTATGCTCATGTGGGAAGTGTTGGGGGTGGAGGGGGAAGCTGCTGTGTCTTCCCAACTCGTTTAAAGATAAATCCATTACTGCTGGAGTTGGTCTTTCTTACACACAGTACTGTCTTTCTTACACACAGTACTGTGTGTAAATATATGTAAAGGAACTGAAGCAAGGATCTTTCTCTGCATATTATATTTCAGGACCTGTTTTCTGTTTCTGTGCGTCCACAAACAAAAACACAGCTCTTCACAGTCGAATCATTTGGTCTTGTGACTGGACACCGGATAGCAAGTATTTTATTACTGGCAGTAGGGACAAAAAGGTAATTAATAAAGCCTAACATAATTAAGAAATAGTTTAAAATGTATTTTAGGCTAGCAGGTGCTGTGTACTTCTGGAAATAGGATCAGTAAATAAATGAAAAGAATATTTTGTGTATTTCCATAGAAATGAATCAGACTTTTCCCTACTCCAAGTAAAGGGGTCTGTCAAGTACACTCCCTTCTTATGATGAACACGTCACACAACTCTTTAGGCGTCTCTTTAAGTGGGGTTTTTTTTGTTTGTTTGATTTGGATTAATAATGGAGGCTATGCTTGTTGTCAGTATATTTAGTTCCCTGAGCCAGTCTGTTTAAAGAATTGAACTTCTGTAGAGAGAATTTTTTGGCTACTTTAGGGGTCAGCAACTTCATTCTGTGCTTCGGGGGTGTTGTAATTAAGGCGTTCCCGACATTTTCATTAAGTGCAAAAAGATGAAAGTGAACATTTCTCGATGATTCCTTTTCCAACAGGTCATTATCTGGGGCCAGTGCGACTCGCCTGAGACGAGCGAAGGGACGGCGCTGGACGCGGTGCGGCCTCGCTCCACGGCGCTGGACGCCGGCGAGTCGGTCACGGCAGTGAGCGTGGGCTGCGTGCTGGCGCCCGGCGGCAGGTACGGCCGTCTCCTGTAACACAGCTCTGGCTGCGTTAATACAGAGATTAGTGGGTTTTTTCCTCCACTTGAGTCAGTTTTGGTGACTTAATCTACTTTGTCAAAAATTACTTAAAATCTACTTGTCAGATATCTTGGCTCTTCTTTAATTGAATTCACCCTTTTTGTCTTTCCTGTCTTTCTGTTGCCCCTTACAGTGATGAGGTGGAGGGGGGTGAGTGGGCAAGTGCACCTACAGCACATTTGTTTTCCCATCAACATCAGCTGGTCTGATGCGCTAATATCCCTCCTTACGAGCACTTTTTTTTTTTTTTTTTTTTTTATATCCAGATATATTTTGCAGCTTTCTGGTTTGCTTTTTTAGGAAGAAACTTTGTTTAAAATCTCAGTTTCTTGGTAAAAAAGTAAATACTTATGTGAAGCTGCCACACAAAGGTTTAGAGCAGTGGTTCTTTCCAGCTTCCTTCAAGCTGCTTTTTTAACCTATTCAGCTAATGTGTTTGCCCTCTTGACAGATACATCATTGCAATAGGCTTAGAGAGCGGGATGATTAATTTGCACACGTGGAAGCAGAGTGGGCAGGAACCAGCGTCGGAGGATTGGAGCAAGTGTGTCCAAATGGATAACAGGTATTTCGTGGGAAGGGTGCTGAAGCAAGGGAACACCTTCCTAAGACAGTTCTGGAATTCGGGTTTTACAGTATAAAGGGATTACAGGTTGCATTTGTATACTAAGTTTGCCATACTTTTTGGAAAGTGTCATGCCTGATCCCTCTAAGCAAAACATGGAACTTAAGGATTCTAAATAATATTTTAAGAAGTAAAACAGAAGATGGGGGCAGGGGTGGGAGGAGGTGTAAAACCATAAGATGCTTCACAATGTGTAAAATTTTGACAGGTTATTCACTTCTTTGGCTTACAGTGTGCGCGTGTGCACTGGTGGGAAGGGGTTTGTTTTATTTTTAGAAACTTTATTATCCTTAGGCATTAGAAATGATAGAAATCGAAGGGAGAAGGCCTTACTCTCTAAATATATCAGTAAATAAGTGAGGGCTGGCGAGAGCATGTGAGCATTTTGGGCTGCACATCAGAAAATCTTCTGCAGCTGCTTCTAGCAGAAACCAAGAGAATGAGATTTTTCTCATCACATTGTAGCTCTGCTATTTGCACGCTTGATTTCTGCAGGACAGAAGAATAGAGGGAATCACAGAAAAACACTCATTAGAGATTGGTGTCTTATCACCAAGCAATATAGCTGGTGTTCTACTTCCTTTGTCAAAAAAGTGCTCTCTGCTTGCAAGAATTGTCAGCAAAGAGACTTTAAGGCAACATACTAAGCACCTGTGTGGATCTCTGCTCAGCAATAGTGAAAGGAGGGTTGGACTAGATGATTGAACAGGGGGATTGAACTAGATGATCTCTAGAGGATCCTTCCAACCTTAACCATTCTGTGATTCTGTGAATGACAAGTTGCACGCACTGGAGATGGAATAAGAGCTAGAGAAACTAGTATCTCTGTGGAGATGCTTCTGGTATTTCTCTTTGAAATATGTTTCATAGACTCTTCTCTTACACACTTGCATTGATAGTACCAGGAATGAAAGATGATGGTAACTTTTGCCTGTATGTGCTTGAACAGATGTCAAATTACAGGAAGTCTCTGGCAAGAAGCCAGTTGTCATACTCGGCAATTGAGATGTCAGACCTGCAACATGAAACCAGTAGCTGTTTAAGTTATTGATGAGCAGAAGATCGTGTTTTTGTTTAAGTTCCTGCTTATTTTAGGAAGTTAATACCTGCTGCTTATCACAAGTCAGGGTGGGTGGGGGTGTGTGTGTGTGTGTTGATAATGTTGACAGGAAAATGTCCATTACGTAGACGACGGTGTTCATGCCCCCGTGTCCAGCTGTGCTTGGGGCTTGGCAGTTACGTGTGGGTTTCCTTTTACTGCAGCCAAAGCCACGCTCTTGCTGTGAAGCGTCTGTGCTGGAGACCCCGGAAGGGCAGAGCTGGACATGACGACCACGACAGCAGCAAGTGGTTGCAGCTTGCAAGTTGTGGTGCTGATCACTGCGTTAAGATATTCAATGTCAACAGATCTGCTTTTTAAGCAATGGCAGTGACAGGCCTGCCTGAGCAGCATGAGTTCACACCATTGTATTTCAGCTCTTTAACTGTACTGACTTGGTTGTGCAAAGTCAGACACAGTGAGTGAAACGGAACTTGCTAACGTGACTTGTGTGGCAGTTTGAAACGCTTTCCTAATCCTGCAGTTCCAGGAAATTGAAGTATTTTGTATGTTTTGGTTGGTGAACATGCTGGAGCTCAGCAGTGTGTGTGGGGAGGTGCTAAATGTTTCATTGTGTAGGAGGATAATGAGAGAGTTCAGTTCACTGTGACTCTGGGGGTATGTGGGAAAACACCAGTACTTGTGTGGGGGGTTTTTCTATCTGTCTGTCTTCCAACATGGAAGTAAAAGACTATTAATAGTAAGAAGACTAACTGCATTTTTACCAATCATCATCTTAAGACAGAACAAAGAAAGAAGTCCTGAACTTTGGATGAACATTTCAACTCCTGTCTGGCTATCCAGGAATTCAAACAGGATAGAACTGCCTAAAAATTGTAGGAATTTCTTGTGCAAAATGACATTTTCTTTGTTCTTTACCTTGGAAGTATAGTCAATCAAGACAATGTTAGATAACAACTGTACCAGCCAAAGAAATGTAGGTAGGTACCTATGTGGTGGGTGGCATGAAACTAAGTAGCCCAAGACAGCACTTGTTTGTGATGTTATTACGAAAGGGTTGGGGGTTGGCTTCAGTTAAGGCTGAGGATGGGGCATGGTCTTGGGGAGTGGAGGTTCTTTCCTACCCTCTGTTTCTGCCTCTGAAGGCCCTGAAGAGATGCAGCGCTCTTCTAATTTATGTCTAAAACATGTTCTCTAAAGCCCTTTAGAGAGCTGCATGAGCTCTTTGGAGCCCAGAGGGTGATGATCAGCGGTGCCGAGTCTAGTTGGAGGCCTGTAGTTAGTGGTGTCTCCCAGGGGTTAGTCCTCGGTCCAGTCCTGGTCAATTTATTCATCAATGACCTGGATGAAGGCACAGAGTGCTCCCTCAGCAAGTTTGCTGATGACACAAAACTGGGAGGAGTAG